AAATATTTCTAATGGTGATTGAACCATGAAACTTTTTATGTAGCGCAATTATAACCTAAATTAGCTGAAAATAACCCTAGAACCTAGAGGCTACTGTTCCTTATAAACTGTACATATGCAATACGTGGCATGCAATACGTACATGACCCCTTTTACGTACTGTGCAGGTCGTGCAATATCTAACTGTTTCTTGGAGCTAGGGGATTAAGTTGAGGGGTTGAGGGATTGAGGGTTCATGAAATTGACTGATAGAATACTCAACCTGTTATTTCTAGCCTGCGTCAGCTTAAGAGAGTGCTAAAAGCAAACAATATCTTCCGAAAGAAAAATTTCACTGATATGCCACAAGTCATCAGTGCAGTCAAGGTATGTATTAATACTATTATTTGCTCAACAAACACACATTTAGGCACAATATGGTACTTATTAGAAACGTCAATATTAAGTAATCTAATCATATAGAAAAAGATACACCGATGAAATAACTAGTTAGAACTTAGTCAACCTCTGACATCATGGAGTATAATATAATTATATGATTTCAATCATTCGTTGAACTGAAGTAACAGTGTGTTGCTGACAATGCATACATGCTTACGTACGTGGAAAACGAGTTGTTTTATTTTAGTTACTATCAATCATAATATCAGTCTCTTACTTGTAATCAATGTTTGAACGGCCCTATATACTTCAGAGCATACAAAGGCAACAACACAAATGATACTCCTAGCTGCTACATTCAAGCAAATGAAGTGGCACTTTTGTTGGCAAACTGAATAGGGGGCACAGCTTAGAGGGTCATGTACACATGTGAAAACAGACATAATGCACACGTTACACGCGGATACACAATGTAATGGAGGCATCACTGTGTAATTAACACTATGCGTACATCATGATCAAAATTAATAACAATATCGGTTACAAAAAATGTGCTATTCTACTTTTAACAGAATGTGCTAGAAAGTGCAAGTGGATGTGATAAATGGTACCGCTACGTTGCCAAGGTACTGCGTGACGATCATGGACTTAGAGTGCGCAGGTATATCAAAATAATTCGCTTTTACCTATATAAGCATGCATTTTCGATCTTTTTTTGTTCTTAAAAAAGTTGTGGATGAATAAACAAAACTGACATTAGCTACCAAAATCCAATTCTAATATAATACCTTAATAATATGCAGAGATGACATTCGTCTTTTACTTGGCATCATGGACCCGGAGGGTGTTGCTTATCGGAAGAAAAATTGCTTTAGAAGACGGCAGTATGTCAACAAAGGGCCCAACTACATGTGGCATGTGGATGGAAATGGCAAGTTAAAGCCCTATGGGTTTGCAATTCATGGTGCTATTGATGGGTAACACTAGTACATTGCATTTTCTGGCCACTTGACTTGCTTTGCAAACTTGCTTGCAAAGCTTCATTTTGCCAATTCATGCCCTAACCCCTGTTATCTCGACACGTATCTAGCATACAGTTTCTGGTACGACTCACGAATGAAATAAATCAAACAAAACAAATCAAACAGTTTTCTATATGCACTTGCACAGTCATTATTCATAGCATTTCAACCAGTGTCTTGCAGCACGTGAATTGCTATATATAGGAGTATATATGTTCAAACTATTCGGCTATTGGCATGCCCGGTCCAGTTAAAATTCATACTTTGTACATGCATGTGGAGGCAGCAGCTAGAATGCAAGACTCAAGCTGATGTTAATACCTTTTGTATATATTGTATTGTAAATGTCATCACTGCTTTGGTTCTTCTCCAATTAAGGTTTTCACGTCGGATTCTATGGTTAGAAGTTGCTGCCACAAACAAGAAGCCAGAACTTGTTGCAAAATTTTTCTTAAAGCCTGTCAAAGAGCTAAAAGGCACGTACAATTTCTTCTTGTTTTGTATATTGTTTTGTTGCAAGCAAGAACATTTTTTGGCCTGTGCCCAATTTCATTGCAATTAGTTGCACCGTTCATAGACAATCTAAAAACGTGTGTGCTGATATGTCACGCTTTGCTATTGTAAAGGGCGAGAGCGTTTCATGTGTGCAGTTTATTGATAATGCATCATTCGTTATTTAAAAGCATTAATATAGCATATAATATTATAGCATAATTAATTATTAGTTTTATAATTACACATTTTTCTCGATCAAGAAGTTCATATTGCTGAATTCCCATTCAGTTTCAGCTGCTGTGTAAATGCCATTTTACAATACCAATTACCCAGGGGGCAAGACAGGTTTACCAGACATGGGGTGTTGTAAAAGGTTGTTTGGTATCAACATGTTCAGGGGACCTCCCTGATCAACTTCCAGGTGGACTGGACTACCCTGAACAAATATGGCTGCTCGAACCAAAAAATGGCGGCGCGCCGCCAAGGTGTTTTTACAAAATGGCCACTAATCTAAGCTAATGTGTGACCAGCGAATTTTGAATGATAATTCTGAACTAGAGACCTGCCTGCTCAGCGCAATGTGTGTGGCTATCACTATTATAAGGGAATTAACATGTCCGCTACCAAGATGATACCACATTAATGGGCTTTATATGAGTAATTGTTGCATAACCAATTTTAGCCAGAAATGAGACTTTTTGAACAATGCTTCCTTCCCACAAAATAATCAGAAAATTGCACGCAAATACACTTTCTTCTCCGCATATTCAGCTCAAAAGGAATACTTTTGCCACTTAAACAAGGTTGAATACTTTCTAGTAAAGCTGCCCATATGTATATGTCCAAATGGGAGTGTGTAAACAGGACAAGTTCATTGCTGTTTTCTACAAACAGAGTTTCATATTGCTCCAAAAGTTAAACACTTTACTATACGTTTCAACTTGCAGTCCGGCCTGTTTGACTTCGCTAAATCAGACTATGTCTGAGTCGGGCTGGCTACTGGTCACTGACCTCTGTTGTGTCCGATGTCCTGCAGTCCTGCTACCATTTGATTGACTAGTCTTGCAAGCGGCACCCCCTAGTGTAGCATGGGCAAGCTCGATTCTTTGAAGGGCAAGCATGAGCAGTTTCGTTATTGCGACCCGCTTAGCACATTCGCACGATATTCGCCTTCTTCATCGACACAGGCCAGGCTGGGTGCGTACATGGAACGGGAACCGCACCATGCTGAACCGAGTGGGCCAGTGGTCCACCAAATTCTGTCCAGGGTGGAATTTGTGGCTTGGCATGTGCGCAGTCTTATCTCATGATCCGTTGCAAGGGCAGCCCCTCTTACGCTGGGCAGAAGGAATGCGTCTTTTGTGGGGGGGCAAGGAGCTTTAGGAGACGTAGATCTGTTGTGTCAGAAAACTTGTATGCCCTGAGCTTGGCCCAGATCAAAAGCTCGCTGGAAGGTCATCAGCCACTGATGTGTAATACAGATGTGGGTGACTGGGTCCTTGGTGCCTGCTTGAAGAGGGTCTTCTGATACGATGTCAGTTTAAGCGGTTCTCCACGGCACGTCGATTAAACTCTTTCAATCATGCGCGTCGAATGTCGAGACACAAGAGCGTGTCAGGCTTGAACCATTCCTTCTTGCGCGGTGAAGTGAAGGAATAATCTCGTAGTGTCTCTGCCACTCAGGCTATGGCATGAAGGGCATTGCATAGCACACGGCGACACGGTGGCAGTTCCCAAGTGTCACAACCCATTTCAATGGCACTTAGTAAGTATGTCCTCTGGGCCTGTCGCTCACCCATAGTTTCTGATAGGATCCTCTCAGGTGTGTTTGCTCCCATGAGTGTAGACCACAGTGGTAATAAGTCCTGTGTCATTGGCCGTGGATACTACTCTTTCAATCCGTCATTCCTGGACACTGTTACAGCAGTGTGCAGGATAGTCGCTTGTATGCAGCCCTCCTTCTGCGTCCGATTCTAGAGGCAGGAACATCGCGTAAGCAGACTCCTCTGTGACTTAATACGCTCTTGTCTCTTCCTGTGAATCCACGCACCCAGGTAGAGATGGAGTTACAACCAACAGCAGGTACAGATGTCTTAGGTTCTCATGTTCATTACTTCTCTCTTGTCCAATTATCCTCAGAAGAGGAGTTTAGGAGGTTAGACGCTCGTGGTTTTTTGATGCCATTTGAAATAGATCTTCTTGTGGGTCAGCGAGCTGTGTAATGGTCATGTGACTTCATTATTCTTTGCGGTTTGGATCGGCTGCATACCTGCTGTTCTTGCTCCGCCCAGGCGGACCTCAGGCTTGGTCGCACTTGTTAACCTGTCACAACAGGGAAGGGCAATGAACGTCCAGGTACCCAGCAGTTGGCACATCATGTACAGGTACTTGTCAGTCCTTCAAGTGTCCGCATTGGTCAATAATTTCTTCAAGCCTTTTTTGGTGCGACAGGACGCGAGTTTGCATCGAATGGCCATTACATGGGATCA